CGTCTGGGGACTTAGACTGAGGCTCATATTTCAGATACTTTATTTCCCCCTGTCATCATACAGCAACCCATTACAGGTTCATTTCAATAAAAGCAGAGTGAATTATTCATCAGAACATCATCACACGGAAAATTATTTTCTCCCCTGCATATAATGAGCTTCACAGAGTGCCCACAAAGAGGGACGTCACACACAAGTGAAAGATGAAGGAGGCTAGAAACATTTATTTTCTTGTCATCATCAAATAATTCCTGCAGTAATTGTCTTGGATAATTACTGAGGGACTGTGAAAGAGAAGAATCCCAGAGAGTAGGTGGTTAGCATCCTTGTGTCCTGGGGTCCTTAGCCCCAGTGGTAATAAAGATGGAGACCTGTCTAGAGATGTCTGTCAATTCCTCCTACGTGCACTCCACAGAGTGAGTATATAATCTCTGGCTTAGGTTTAAGTGAGGCAGCACATCTGCTGGAGGCAGCCTTGTGAGCACTGCCGAGCTCTGGATTGGGGATGTAGCTCAGTTAGTAAAGAGTGTGCCTAGAACACACAAAGCCCTGGGTTCTTTCCTCTGGATCATGTAAACCAGGTATGGTGACACATACATGTAATCTCAGCATTTAAGTGGTGGAGGCAGATGGATCAGGAATCCAAGGTCATCCTCATCTGTATAGCAAGTTTCAGGCTGGCCTGAGCTACACATGACCCTGTGTAATGGTTGGTTTTTTTAATGTCAACTTGGTACAGTCTGGGAAGAATTTCTCAATGAGGGGGTTGTCTAGGTCAGGTTTGCCTGCAGGTATGTCTGTGGAGGATTGTCTTGTTTGCTAATTGAGGTAGAAAGACCCAGCCTGGATGTGGGCAGCATCATTCCTTACGCTGGACCCTGAACTGTGTGAGAGTGAAGAAAGCTAGCTGAGCATGAGCAACTGGCAGCATGGGTGTGCTCCTTTTCTTTGCTCTGTGGAGGGATTGGCTGCTTGAGTCCCTGCCTTGACTTCCCCACAATAATGGGTGGTAGCCCGGAACTGCAAACCACATAAGCGCTTTTCTTCCCCAAGTTGGCTCTTGGTGAGGGCATTTTATCATAGCAACAGAAACGAAGCTAGAACACTCTTCAAAGCAGGAAAACAAAATAATACAGGCTCCAAATCTAGATGTCCTCCCTGAAAGTAACTCCATCTGCACATGCCTCTGGTCAGAGTTCCATGCCACTAATGCCCTTTGTCTCTTTGCTTGCAGAATCCAGGGATCGATATAGGTGACGTCTCAGAGAGAAAAGCATTAAGGAAAAGTTTGAAGTGTAAGAATTTCCAGTGGTACTTGGACCACGTCTACCCGGAAATGAGAAGATACAACAATACTATTGCATACGGGGAGGTAAGATGAACTACACTCAAGGGACAACAGAGCCTTCTTCCCTTCCTCCCCTCAGTGATTCTTGGAGGTCCAAGGCTCTCTACCTAACAAGGGTATGGAGGCAGGAATGGGACTGTGGCTGTCTTCTCTGTCCGAGGTGATGGGTTTTGAGGTGTTTTGACATTGAGGGCCTCTGGGCCATGTAACTAGAGACACCGGGCAGAAAGCAGGACATAACAAGAGTCAAGGAGCAGAGGATATGAACCAGTGTTAGAGCACTTGCTTAGTGTGTTTTAAGTCCCCAGCAACAGACAGACAGACACACAAGCATGCACACAGCATGCATTCGCACACACAGCTCTGATTCACTCACGTATACAAGAGAGATGGAGCTGGGTATGATATGCATACTTATAATCCTAGTTATTAGGGACACTGAAGCAGGATTGCTATAAACATGGGCTACATATTGAGTTCTGGGCCAGTTCAAACTATGTAACATGACCCTATCTCAAAAGAGAGAAAGGGAGTCTGGGGTGAGGCTAGAATCTCTATTGCTCATTGTTGTGGGCTGGGGCCAACTAGTGATTGTAAAAGAAGAAAGGAAAGAAAAAAGGAGAAGTTGAACTCTCAGATTGAGGCAATCTAACATTCTAAAACAGTTGGGCATGTTAGCACGGGCCTTTAATCCCAGCATTTAGGAGGCAGAGGCAAGAGAATCAGGAGTTCAAGGCCATCCTCAGCTACATAGCATGAACCACACAAGACTGTACCATAATAAACAAACTCGGCAACAATAACAAATGTCTTTTGCACTGATCTGCTAGACTCTCATTCTAGTAAGTTGTAGCCAGCCATATGCCACCCCCTAGGTTCCATTTCTTAGTGTATAAAAATGAGAGAAATCCAAGTCCCAACTCTATGGGGGTGCTGGGCAGAACAATGAGCCCTGGTGTGTAGGGTCTGTAGATCAGTAGGCAGCATGTGTCAGACATGTTAATGCCTACTAACTGCCTTCTCCTCTCTCCTTCAAAATAAAAGGGTTTGAAGGAAGATCAAGCGTGAAGGAGACATCGGGAAACTAGCAGGGACTTGTCTTAATTGTGTAAACTGCTTAGCTCCTTGTAAGAGAAACTGTGGCTGGGGAGGTGGCTCAGTCAGTAGAGCGTTTGCCCCTCATGTGTGGCATCCCAGGTTCCATTTCCTGCACTACATACATCTGGCATTGTGGTGCACATCTGTAATCAGTTTGAGGTTCTTCTCAGCTGCCTAGTGAGATCAAGGTTAGCCTGGGCTTCAAGAGATCCAGTCTCAAAACCTCCTCCCAAAGTAAAGAAATGAAGCCAGTTATATAGTCATAGAAATAAATCTGATATCCAAAGGGAGATAAGCTCTCTAAGAATGAAAGCTGTAGGACGAACAGTAGAGAAAACAGATCATTGATCTGAGCTCATAACGAAATATAACCCACTCTCTAAATGTGGAAACATTCTGCCAAACTGGAAATTTATACATCGCAAATCTTACAAATGAACAGTAATTTATGTAGTGTGTAGTGAGCCCTACAATTCAATTTAAATAAAACAATTGATTTAAATAACAAAAAATGTCCCCCAAAGAAAAGTTGACCAGATGTCTTTGTTATTTTTCCTGTTGCTGTGAAGAGACACCATGAACAAGGCAACTTATAAAAGAAAGCATTTGCCAGGCAGTGGTGGTGCACGCCTTCAATCCCAGCACTTGAGAGGCAGAGGCAGAGGCAGGTCAATCTCTGTGAGTTCTATGTCACCCTAGTATGCAAACCGAGTTCCAGGGCAACCAGGGCTACATAGGTAAACTCAAAAAAATAAAAAAAAAAAGAACAGATGACTCAAAAAAAAAAAAGAAATCATTTCACTGGGGGACTTGCTTACAGTTCCAGAAGGGAAGTCCATGATATTGAAGAGGAAGAAGCTAAGATGCTTAAACTGTCCTGCTACAGTGACACCGGGCTGTTGTCATGGGACAAACTGTAGAGAAGATAGCTGCAGCTGTCACCCGTGGTAGACATATAAACAGTTTGGATCGAGATTTTAGCTTTTTGTTTTTAAAGATTTATTTTTATTATTTTATTTGCACACACACAAATAAATGTGTGCAGGTGCCCTCAGAGGCCAGAGAGAATCGGATATGGATCCCCTAGAACAAATTACAAAAGGCTGTGAACCATCTGATGTAGGTGCTGGGAATCAAACCCCGGTCCTTTGGAAGAGCAGTGTGTGCTCGGAGATGCTGAGCCATCATCTCTTCAGGCCCTAGCAGCTTTTATCATAGACACCATTTTCAAAGTATTCTTGTGATAATTTCATTATTAGAAGGAAAATAAATATTTTTAAAAATCTTAAAGTTGGCTGAGCATTGGTGGTGCACTCCTTTAATCCCAGCACTCGGGAAGCAGAGGCAGGCAGATCTCTGTGAGTTTGAGAGCAGCCTGGTCTCTAGAGCAAGTGCCAGGATAGGCTCCAAAACTACACAGAGAAACCCTGTCTCGAAAAACCAAAAAAAAAATCTTAAAGATGAAAAGGTGGTGTTAGAGAGGTGTCTCAGTGAGTAGAGACACTGGTCACTAAGCCTGATGACCTGAGTACAGCCCCGGGACTCAGGTAGTGAATGGAGGGAACTGACCCTACATACAGCCCACACATACAAATACACATACACATACCTACACAATGCCCTACCCACATATCAGATAGATAATGTTTCTTGCTGGAAGTGAGCTAGTCTGGCTGGACAGTGAACCCCAGAGATCCATATATCTCTGCTTCCTCCATGCTAGGATTACAAACATGAACCATCATGTCTAGCTTCTTATGTGGGTTCTGGGTCTCAAACTCAAGTCCTCATGCTTGCAAGGCAATCACTTTGTCTGAGCCGTCACCCCAACCCAATGGTAGTGGACTTGTTTGCCTTTTTGATTATTATTTTTCATGTTCTCTGCCAGGAATGACCTAAGAAACTGATCTTAAATTTTTGAGTTAATTAAAACTAGCATTGGTGTTGGGGCCTATTTATGGTTTATTTATACAGCTGCCTTGGCCCTAATCCCACCCCCTCTGAGAAGATTTTAAACCTGAGATCCATGTGAGCCATGGTCCTGTATCTGAATGTTCCCATAAGGCTGGGGAGATGGTTCAGTTGGCAAAGTGATTGCCTGAGTCTGATTCCCAGAACTCATGTAAACAAACAAGAACAAACATAGGGCATGGTAGTGCAGTCTTCTAATCCTAGCAGCACTGGGGAGGCTGAGACAGGAAGATCCCTGAGGCTCAATGTTCTGGCTTACTTACGTGGTGAGCTCCAGGTTAGTTAGAAACACATACATGTGTACCTGCATATCCACAAACAACACTGCACAGAGTTCCCTGTTATCTTCTTGTTAATGATTTATGTGTTTTTATTTTATGTGTATGGGTGTTTCTCTTGCACACATGCCCGGGTGCCATGTACCTACTGTGCCTGCAGAGGGTGTTATAGGTGCTCTGGAACTGGAGTTACAGAGGGTTGTTATCTCCCATGTGGGTGCTGGGAACCAAACTTGAGTCCTCTGCAAGAGCTACAAGTACTCTTAGCTGATGAGTCATCTCTCCAGCCCCCATCTGGTTAATGAAAGGATTATCTTATTATTTATGTGTACCTGTGTTTGTGTGGGAGTGGGTATGTGTGTGTGAGTATAGTGCCTGTCCAGACCAGAAGAGGGTATCAGATACCTTGGGCTGGAATTACAGGTGGTTGTGAGCCACCAGACTCAGGTCTTCAATAAGAGCAGCTAATGCTCTTAACCACTAAGCTATTGCTCCAGTCCCCTGACATATCCTCTGATGTGAGAGATGGAAGATGGTGAGGGGGTGGAGCTCAGGCTATCCAGGACCCAGACACAGGTCTCACACCCAAGATACTCACTGTCTGGCTTTGTCCTTCATACTCAAGTTATTGGCTCATAGATTCTAGCACCGATCCTTATTTGGAAAGGACTGTGTGTGGCTTCTCTATCATGAAATGACAGCCAAGGAACATTGTGGTGGTGGTGGCTGGGAAGCTACATCTCTCTTAGAGGGTTTCTGATGGCCATATTTCATCTCCTGCAGCTTCGTAACAATAAGGCCAAGGATGTCTGCCTGGATCAGGGGCCACTAGAGAACCACACAGCAATACTGTACCCATGCCACGGCTGGGGACCACAGGTAAGACCACTGTCTGACCAGGAGGGGAGTAAAATCAACAGCCCACAGGGGCCTGTGGGACTTCTGGAGATTTCTATTACCCATTGATCCAAATCCTGTGTTCTTTTTTTTTTTAAGAATTTGGATGTTTTACTGGTTGTGTTATTAAAGAAGGTAATTTACTACGAGGGTTAATATTGACTGTCAACCTGACAGAATTTAGAATCACTAAAGAGACATCTCTCTCAGCATGTTTGTGAAGAAAGTTCTACAGTGGGTTAGTTGGGTTTGAAAGACACACACTGAATGTGGACAGCACCATTCCATGGGCTGGGGTCCCAGGATAAATTAAAAAGGAGAGAGCAAGCTGAGCACCAGCATCCATCTCTCTCTGCCTCCTGATTGTAGATGCCATCGGACCAGCTGCCTCACACACCTGCCAATAGGCCTTGCCCACAATGATGGGCTGTGCTCTCAAACTTTGAGCCACAATAAACCCTTCCATTCTTCCTTCCTTCCTTTAGTTGCTTTTGTCAAGTATTCTGTAATAGCAAAGTGATAAAAGTAACTCTTATTTATAGTCACATCTATACAAATGACAAGAGGGTCAATGTGTATGTTACATATTGAAAAGAAAATTAGGATAAGCTTTAGAGTCATTTGCTAACAGACAGAGATGTGCCATACTGTGTCTTTCAAACCAAATTACCAAATTACCATTCTTCTATGAAGAAACAACAGAGACCTTTAAAAAAAAATGTGTGTGTGTGTGTGTGTGTGTGTGTGTGTGTGTGTGTGTGTGTGTGTGTGTGTGTTTAGGTATGAACA